AGTTCCAGGAGAGGCGCAAAGCTACACAGAGAAACCCTGTCTCGAGAAAAAAAAAAAAAAAAAAAAAAAGTGAAAATGCCATCATACAGGCGGATCTCGGGAGTTCAAGGCCAACCTGGTCTACAAAGCAAGTCTCAGGACAGCCAGGGCTACACAGAGAAACCTTGCCTGGGGGCGGGGAGTGGGGTGGGGTGGGTTGGGGTGAGTTGAGAAGAAAAGAAAGAAAAGGAGGAAGAAGAAAGAAAAGAAGAAAGGGCATCATAAAGATTAAAGATTACAATAAAAAATAAAACACTTTTCAGTATTTACATTTTCACTTCACTAAAGTTTCTTAACCTGGCAGTTTGCTTTGCTTTGTCTTTTTATTTAATTTTATTTTGTATACATTGGTGTTTTGTCTGAAGATCTGTCTGTATGAGGGCATTAGATCCCCAGGAACAGAAGTACAGACAGCTGTAAGCTGCCACGTGGGTTCTGGGAATTGAACCCGGGTCCTCTTGGAAGAGCAGCCAGTGCTCTAAACTGCTGAGCCTTCTCTCCAGCTCCTGTTTTGTTTTTTCTATCAGGCCATTCTAGGTAGCACAGGCTGCCCTTGAACTCTAAGTACGGATGTCTCAGGCTCCCTAAAGCACTACCAAGCAGTAACTTTCTGAGTTGAAAGTCGCTAATGTACAGTCACAGTGTTTGGTTAACTGCTGGCCTTATGCCGCTAACAGATAAAATGGTGACTTTTGTAAATGTGTCCTGGGGTTTTAGAAGCTGCTTTCCAGGCTCTCTTTTCTAGGCTCCCCAGACTCCTCAGCACGTGTCTAGTGCCACATGCTCCCGCTGCCCAAATTTCCCAAAAGACGCCTGTTCTCCAAGCAAGTGCCTCCTACGTTTGACCTAGGTCTTTAATCTTTTTTGCTAAACCCATCTCTAGCTGAATGCCATGTTGAAACCCTAATGAATCTATTCAATCTAATGTTAATTAAATCTGAATAACTCTCTAAGGATATTCTTTTTGCAATATGAGCCAATAAATTCAAAGAAGAAAAGTACTGCAAACCTCAGGTAGCAGCATCACCACTCCCAAACAGCTGAGTTTAAAAATGACGAGGGGTTTTTGTTGTTGTTTTCTGTTTGTAGTTTTGGAGCCTGTCCTAGATCTCGCTCTGTAGACCAGGCTGGCCTCGAACTCACAGGATCCGCCTGGCTCTGCCTCCCAAGTGCTGGGATTGAAGGTGTGTACCACCACCGCCCGGCTCTGAAAATGACGTTTTATTTATGATGTGTGCATGGGGCTGTGCGGCACATGTCGCAGCAATGTGGAAGGCAGAGTTCTCCTCCACTGTGTGGTTCAGAAATTGACTCAGGTTGTTGGGCTTGGATAGACATCCTCACCTGCTGAGTCATCCTATCACACAGTCCTAGAAACAGTTTCAGACTAAGGATTTCTCCAAAAATTGAAACCTGTCACTCTAACTGGGCAGAAGAGCACTATGTCCTTAACACTATTACATTTCTTTCTGCTCTGAGATACTACTCAGTGGAAACAAATTGTATTTTTTGTATCAACTGCCTTCTTAATGTACTTTTACTCTGACCCATTGTCAACTAAGAGGGGTGTAAATGGTACTGTAGTTACTCAAATTCTCAGCTGTGTATTCACTGAAGAGCCCACAAAGCTCCAGTAGATAGCTGGGGTTTTGTTTTTTGTTTTTGGAGACAGGGTCTCACTATATAGCCCTAACTATCTTGAATCTCACTATGTAGACCAGGCTGGCTCCGAACTCACAGTTATCTGTCTGATTCTGCCTCCCCAGTACTGGGATTAAAGGCTTGGGCCACCATGCCCAGCCCAAAGGCTAGTACTGAACCCACAGTTATACAAATGGCCTTGGTTAAACTCAGTGAGTCATAAAATAAAACAGAAATGACAGGATGACATGAATGTAGGGGCCAGAGAGATGGCTTAGCAGGTCAAGTGTTTATCATCAAGTCGTCCTCAAGATCCATGTGGTGGAAGCAAAGAACTGACTTCTGAAAATTGTCCTCTGACTCCACACCTGCCCACATACATGCACACAAAATAATTAAAATGAAGTGCAGTGATGCTGGACATGGTTGCGCTCGCCTTTAATCCCAGCACTCCGGAGGCAGAGCCAGGCAGATCTCTGTGAGTTTGAGGCCAGCCAGAGCTACAGAGTGAATTCCAGGACAGCCAGGACTATGTAGAGAAATCCTGTGTCAACAAAACAAAACAAAATAAAAAATGAAGTACAATGAAAACAGGTTTGCCAAAGGAATGTAGGAAAGGGATTTGTAGCTCGGGAAGGGATTGAGGGGCGGGAGGGAGAGTAGAGAGGGAAGAGGATTAAAGTGATTAGACTGCATTATACACGAGTATGACATTGTCAGAGGACAAATCTCAGACACTTCTCAGAGAAGCCCATCCCCACACTCCTGGGAGCCTTACTCTCTCTCTCTCTGAGCACCCTGTATTGAAATCTGTTTAAAAATATGTCCCTTAGCCGGGCGGTGGTGGCGCACGCCTTTAATCCCAGCACTCGGGAGGCAGAGCCGGGCGGATCTCTGTGAGTTCGAGGCCAGCCTGGTCTCCAAAGCGAGTTCCAGGAAAGGCGCAAAGCTACACAGAGAAACCCTGTCTCGAAAAACCAAAAAAAATAAAAAAAAAAAAAAAAAAAAATAAAAATATGTCCCTTTAATAACTTCCAGTTCTGCTTTAAAAAATTTAATGTTGTTTTTTGCTTTGTTGTTGTTGCTTTTTTGAGACAGGGTCCCGCTATGCAGCTCTGGCTGGCCTGGAGCTTGCTGTGTAGACATACTGGTCTTCAACTCACAGAGATCCACCTGCCTCTGCCTCATGAGTGCTGGAATTAAAGGTGTGCGCCATCATGCCTGGTAAGAACAATTTTAATTAATAACAACCAAAAAGGGTTTTGTTTGTTTGTTTGTTTGTTTAAGCTGGGAATGGTGACACACATCTTTATCCCAGCACTTGTGAGGCAGGGGCATGTGGGTATCTGTGAGTTCAAGACCAGTGTGGTAAACAAAAACAAAACAATATCAACATGTAATAGTCACTGACTTTTGAGTTTAATATGTCAATAAAAATAATGTCGTAGCCTGGAGTGGTGGCACACACCTTTAGTCCCAGCACTCAGGAGGTAGAGGCAGGCAGATCTCTGAGTTCAAGGCCAGCCTGGTCTACGGAGTGAGTTCCAGGACAGCCTGGCCTACACAGAGAAACCCTGTCTTGAAAAATAAAGCAAACAGCAATGCTGTCTAAGAAGTAAGGCCGAAGTGAGTGGGGTAGTCTGTGCCTATACACAAGCAACTGTGTGTGCCTGCTACCAAGGAGACCAGAGCTGGAGTTAGGGGTGGTTGGGAGCCACCATGTAGGTACTGGGAACTGAACCCAGGTCCTCTGTTAGAGCAACAAGGGCTCTTAACCCTGAGTCATCATTACAGCTCATTCAAAAACTATTTATCTTATTTGTCTGTGTGTGCGTGCCTGGTGGATGTTCGTGTGCCACATGCATGCAGGAGCCTGGAGAGGTGAGAAGACCATATCAGATCCCCTGGGGCTGGGATTACAGATGTTTGTTAGCCATCGTGTGTGGGAGGCACACACACCTCTTAGAGCGGTAAATTCTAAACTGCTGAACCGTCTCTCTGAACCCTTTTAAACTTTAACTGTGATTTGTTTTGAGATCAGTTTCGTTCCTTAGGTCAGGTTGATCTAGAACTCACTATGTAGCTCAGGCTAGACTCTAACTTGAAGCAATCCTCTTACCCTCATTATCCTGCAATTAGTAGGCTAAAGTTCTTAGTAGACATATGATTACCGTACATACTTACTCGGAACAGTGTGATATTAAAAGTCAAAAGTAGGCTTTGAGGTGGTGGTGCACGCCATTAATCCCAGCACTTAGGAGGCAGAGGCATGGAGATCTTTGTGAATTCTGGTCTACAGAGCGAGATCCACAACAGCTAGGGGGGGAACAAAACAAAACCTGTCTTAAAAAACCAAAAACAACGACAACAACACACCAATAAATAAATAAATGAAAGTCAAAAGTAGAGCTGAAGGGTGTGGACAAAGTACTTGCTGTGCAAATATGAGGACTTGAATTCAGATCCTCATCAGCCATGTTAACAAAACAAAACTGAGTATAGTGGCACCTACCTGTAATCCCATTGGCTCCCTGAGGCTTCGTTGGTAACTAGTCAGTACAGCTGAGTCAACGACCTCCCGGTTCTGGAAGAAACCCTCAAAAACGAAGGTAAGAAATGCTAGCCATGGCTGTTGTGGGACATTTGTACACCGTGTGAAGACATATTGCTGTGATTGGTGTCATAAAAAGATGAACCTAGGCAGGAGGTATAGGTTGGACTTCCGGACAGAGAGAGAACTCTGGAAAGAAGAAAGGAGGAATCGCCAGCCAGACCCAGAGAAGAAACAGGAGGTGCAAGATGGAGGAGAGGCAAAGCCACACCACATAATATTGTAGTGGTATTCGCTCCGCCCATGGCCTTGGGCTATAGGGCCTGAAGGAAACAGTGCTTCTTACCTTTGTAAGTGACCTATTATAAGGGTAGGAGAAGGGTCACATGCCCTTTCTCCCCTACTCCTGCCATGGAGGTGGATTCACTTCTGGTCAGGTCAGAGGATGACTTCAGCCTTCTACTCCATTCTGTATTTCCTCAACTTATATCTTAATGAATCCGTAATACCCATTAAATAGACTCACGTGCACTGATCACCTTAGAATGTAGATTAAGCTGGGCGGTGGTGGCGCACGCCTTTAATCCCAGCACTCGGGAGGCAGAGCCAGGCGGATCTCTGTGAATTCGAGGCCAGCCTGGACTACCAAGTGAGTTCCAGGAGAGGCGCAAAGATACACAGAGAAACCCTGTCTCGAAAAACCAAAAAAAAAAAAAAAAAAAAAAAAAAGAATGTAGATTAATATAAATGGGTTAATTTGGGGCTGGAGAGATGGCTCAGAGGTTAAGAGCACTGGCTGCTCTTCCAGAGGTCCTGAGTTCAATTCCCAGCAACCACATGGTGGCTCACAACCATCTATAATGAGATCTGGCGCCCTCTTCTGGCCTGCAGACATACATGCAGGCAGAACATTGTATACTAAATAAATCTTTTTAAAAAAAAATGGGTTAATTTAAGTTATAAGAGTCAGTTGAGACAAGTCTAGGCTAAGGCCAAGCTTCCATAATTAATAATAAGTTTCCAGGTCATTATTTAGAGGCTGGCGGTCCCAGTGAGAAAGAAGTGCTACACATGGTGGTTGCACGCCTTTAGTCCCAGCACTCTGGACTCAGAGACAGGTGGATTGCTGTGAGCTCCAGGCCAGTCTGGGCTACAGATGAGATGCTGTCTTTTATTTATGTGTGTGTGTGTGTGTGTGTGTGTGTGTGTGTGTGTGTGTGTGTGTGTGTGTGTGTGTGATGTCATACAGAAGCCTGCAGAGCTCAGATCCCCTAGGACTGCAGTTATAGGTGGCTGTGAGCCACCGTGTGGGTTCTGGAAACCAAACCCAGGTCCTCTGTAGAACAGTAATTTCTCTCTGGCCCCATGAGACCTGTCTTACACACACACACACACACACACACACATAGGCAACACACATACATGTACACACACTAAAGAGCAATGAACAAAAGGGAGAGGGACAACCGTAGTGTGAGAAACTTCAGTCTGCAACTTGCCTTGCTGGCCACTCCCACATCCTCACTGTGGTTCCAGGGGTGAAGGAGTGCTGGGGGAGAGTGTAGCTTTTTTTTTTTTTTCTTCCTGAGACAGGGTTTCCCTGTGTAACAGCCCTGGCTGTCCTGGGAACTCTCTCTGTAGCCCAGGCTGGCCTCGAACTCAGAGATTCGCCTGCCTCTGTCTCCTGAGTGCTGGGATTAAAGACGTGCGCCACTACTGCTCCGTTTGGATGCTGCTGTTTTGATTTGGAATGTCTCCAAATGGTCTTGGGCCCTCAGTCCATGGTACAGGGAAACAGTACAAACTTAACAGGTCAAACTGAATAAGAGGTGGTTTTTTTTTTTTGAGATGGGGTTTCTCTGTGTAGCCCTGGCTGTCCTGGAACTCTCTTTGTAGACCAGACTAGTCTTGAACTCACGGAGATCTCCCTGTCTCTGCTTCCCAAGTGCTGGGATTAGAGGCATTAGCTGCCACTACCACCTAGCTGTTGTTTTTTTTTTTAGAACAAAACATTAGTGTGTATGTGTGTGTGCAAATGAGTGCAGTCATGGAGGCCAGAAGAGGTTGTCATAGTGTCATATCCTTTGCAGCCAGAGTTACAGATGATTGTGAGCTGCCTGGGGGAGCTGGGAATCAAACACAAGTCCTCTCCAAGAACAGCAAGAGTTATTAATCAGTGGGCTATCTCTCCAGTTCCCTCTTCCCAAATAAGAGGTTTTATTGGTTTCTTTTCTTTTCCTTGTCTCAAAAAAACAAAGTTGATTTTTGAATAGGAATGATCCCTGTAGGCTCATATATTTGAGAATGCTTGGTCATTACGGAATGGCACTACTTAAGAAGGATTAGGAGGTGTGGCCTTGTTGGACTAGGTGTGGCCCAGTTGGAGGAAGTGTGTCACTGGGGGTGGGCTTTGGGGTTTCAGAAGCCCAAGCCAGACCCAGTGCCTCCCTCTTCCTGTTGCCTGTGGGTCTGATGTAGAACTCTCATCTTCTCTGTGCGTGCTGCCATTCTTTCCATAATGCTGATAATAAACTGAACCTCTGAAACTGTAAACCAGCCCCGATGAAATGCTTTCCTTTATAAGAGTTGCAGTGGTCATGGTGTCTCTTCACAGCACTAGAACACTGACAAAAGACTTTTTTCCACCAAGAGGGTGCTAAAAGAAGGAGACTTTGCCCAACTGCTCCTAGCCAAAGCCAAAATGAAGACAGTGAAAGCAAGAGACAGTGCAGAAAGGCACCACAGTCACAAAGATCCTTACCTTCTGGAGGCTCACCTTCCGTGGCTTGAGAGACAGCCCAAGTGCCCTCACAAGAGCATCCCCAGAAAGACAAGCTTGACCACTACGTCATCATAAGTTCCCCTGACCACTCAGCCATAAAGAAGAGAGAAGGCAGCAGACTTGTGTTCTCTGTGGATGCACGGCCAACAGGCACCAGAGCAAAGGAGCTGTACAGAAAATCTACGACACTCGTGTAGCCTGAGCCAACACCCTGCTCAGGCCTGAGAGCATGCACATGTTCGGCTGGCTCCTGACTGGGATGCATGTTGCCAACAAAACTGAGATCATCTAAACCATAAACTAATAATAATAGTCATAAAAATACACACTTTTAAAAAAGCCTTTAATGCCAGCACTCGGGAGGCAGAGGTGGCTCTCTATGAACCAAGGACAGGTTGATTTACATAGTGAGACGGTCTCAAAAACCAACAAACAAGGGCTGGAGAGATGGCTCATCGGTTAAGAGTACTTGCTGCTCTTGTAGAGGAAGCAGGTTTGATTCTCATCACCCACATGATGGTTCAATCTGTAACTTCTGTTCTAGGGGGTCTGATACCCTCTTCTGACCCCCTTGAGGACCAAGCATGTACACTGCCTGATGACCTGAGTTCAATCCTCAGAACCCATGTAAAGGTGGAAGAAGAGGAGCAGCTTCATACAGTTGTCCTCTGACCACATGTGCCCACACACATACACCACGTCCACACACAATAATAATCAATTAGAAAAAATAAAACTAAATAGAAAAAGAAAACAAGCTAAATAGAAAGGTAGAATCTATTCTGCTCTCTTTGAATCCACACTACTTTGGAACATAGTGGTGTATACCTTTAATCCCAGCACTCTGAAAGCAGAGGCAGGAGAATCTCTGTGACCTGAGGCCAGCCTGATCTGTATCGCAAGTTCTCGGCCAGCCGGAGATACAGATTGAGACACTGTGTCAAAATCAAAGTAAATCCACTCGCCTTTATGATCGGCACTCTCCGCTCCCCAGGTGGTTCCAACATGCCAACCAAAGAGACAAAGAACAACGGGGAAAGCAGAGAAGAGAGATTTCAGGGATGCATCGGGAAGAAGGAACAGACTTTAGGTTCAAACAGAGGAAGAACTGTCGGGCTATGAGCAAAAAGTGTGATAAGGAAGCAGTCTTGAAGGTGTGGCCCCATCTGTATCACCTCAGCTCCAATCCAGGAGGGTGGCTGATAAAACTGTTAATCTGCATCACTGTTTTCCTGTTTCCCACAAGATGATTATTTCTGCTCCAGAGTGCAGCCTACCCTTATAAGTAATCGCCCTCATCTGTGTGTGTTGGGGGGAGGGTGGCGGGGCTGGGGGACAAGGGCTGGGGGCTGGGGTCGGCTGATGGTTTACTTCTGGAATCCAAAGAGACTGCAGGTTTAAGACAAGGACTTACCTTTGTGCCATCGGCTTTGTGGCCCAAGTGAAGAGTCAATAGTTTGTAACAAAAGTAGCTTCTGTTACAATTCCCCTTGTGTTTGAACAGTCCTCAGTCTTGAGGGAACTGGGATATCTGCTAATCTGGCTCTCTAGGTTCCTTGGCCTGGTGATAAACTAGTCCACAAAAAGGGGACAGGCCACAGAGGCTGAAGCACATAAGCAAATAAAAAAAAAAATCTAATTAGAGGCAGTAGAAACATCAAAAGAATTTTATTGTCCAATTTTGTATGTTAGAAGTTTAGATACAACCAGGCGTGGTGGCATTCACCTTTAATCCCAGCACTTGGGAGGCAGCAGCAGACAGATCTCTGGGTTTGAGGACCACCAAAAATAAAAGAAAGAAAGAAAAAAAAGCCTAGTTGCTTTAGACAGGGAGCATAAGATTCTAGTTTTGTATCAGTGTAAAACAACACAAAAACAACCCAGAGCTCCCACCTCAAAGAGAGTAAGAGTTTATTCTGGAGCCAAATACGGTCCACCATTGCACCGGAATATGGATTCAGGTTACCCCAAATACCACGTTCTAATACGGTAACAGTTTTCATCAAATTTTTATAGTAACACAGCCAAGAAAGCCACAAATTAAGATACTCTCAGCCGGGTGGTGGTGGCACATGCCTTTAATCCCAGCACTTGGGAGGCAGAAGTGGGTGGATCTCTGAGTTCGAGGCTAGCCTGGTCCACAGAGAGAGTTCCAGGAAAGCTAAGGCTACACTGAGAGACCCTGTCTGAAGGAAAAAAAAAAGAAGAAAAAGTCCCTGTAATAAAAGTAATCCCAACATCTGTATGGGGCCATCTTTCGCAGGCATTTAGGGTTGTCACTAATGGCTGATGCCCCAAGGTGTGTGACTCACCCAAGTTGTAAGTGGAGTTTTAGAGCAGAAACCTCATCCAGCAGCTCTAACAAGTCAGGCGCGCCCACTCATCCCAGTGTAACAATTAAGGCAGTAAATAATGGTGTAAGGCAGGGAAGGAGATTTCATCACTCTCAGGGAAAGGAACACATATAGAGTGAGTCCATAGCTCCAAGTTCATCTTCAGGGTATGGACAGAAGCTTTGCTTTAAGCAGAGATCTGGGGCAGGAACAAAGAGATACACAGAATTAAGAGTACTGCTCAGGAGTGGCCCTGTTTATCACTGTCTCAGCTCCAGTCCTGAAAGGCAGTTGGTAAACTGCTAACCTGATCTTTTGTTGCTAACCTGTGAATCCTGGGTTTCTATGCGCAGATGACCTCTGCACCAGCATGCAGCATTGGACTGGTGGAGGGGGTCCGTCTTCAAAGGCTTGCTTTCTTCTTCCTGGAACCCAAGGTGACTGCAGGTGTAGGACAATGACCTGTCGCTGTGCCTTTATCCTTGAGTCAATATTCTTTAGCAAAAGCAGCTTCGAAGTGCTTGCTGCACGTGACTTAGCGGCAGAAGAGTGTGTGTGCCAGAACCGGGTCAAGCCCTTAAGAAGCCTGGTAGCTTTGTTCTCATTCTTTTAAAGGCAAGTCACCCTACAAAAAAGCCCCAGCTAGATTAACAATGGATAAAAGAACATGTGGAGAGAAAGAAAGGTCATGTGGACAAGCACTGTGTCTCGTCCAACAGAAAACAAAAGGCCAAGATATCTGCCACTCTAGACGTCCCAGTTGGACGAAGCTGCTGAGTAAGCCAGATGACACCACACGGAACCAAGAGAAATAACACATACTTGTTCTTTCTATAAATAATTGTTTTTTTTTTTTTTTTGGTTTTTCGAGACAGGGTTTCTCTGTAGCTTTGCGCCTTTCCTGGGACTCACTTGGTAGCCCAGGCTGGCCTCGAACTCACAGAGATCCGCCTGGCTCTGCCTCCCGAGTGCTGGGATTAAAGGCGTGCGCCACCACCGCCCGGCTAAATAATTGTTTTAAGTTGGTAAGTTTTGAGGTGATTGGTTACATATAAAGACTAGGTAGCTGAAAGGGTTTACACTCACGTGGAGAGAACTGGTCCCATAGATTCTCATTTCTCACTAACTTAGATGAAAATGATTTAGAAAACAACTCTTGCAGGGTGGTGGTGGTACACATGCCTTTAATCCCAGCATTTGGGAGGCAGAGACGGGTGTATCTATGTGAGTTTGAGGCCAGCCTAGTCTACAAAGTTCCAGGACAGCCAAGGTTGTTACACAGAGAACCCCTGTCTCCAAACATTCCCACCCACCCCCAAAAAAACCCTCTTAAACAATGAACATCTCTCTCTTTTTGTTTTTGTTTTTCAAGACAGGGTTTCTCTGTGTAGCCCTGGCTGTCCTGGATTTCACCCTGTAGACCAGGCTGGCCTCCAACTCACAGAGATCTGCCTGTCTCTATCTTCCAAGTGCTGCAATTAAAGGCACATGCCGCCACCAGCTTTTTTTAGTTTAGTTTATTTTTTTTTGAACAATGCTTTATTTATGTTTGTGTTTGTTTTGAACATTTTTTGCTCAGTTTTTGTTTTGCATAGATCTCAGGCTAGGGTGTAGGAGAAGATGCCTTTAATCTTTAATCCCAGAAATTGAGAGGTTGAAGCAGGTAGATCTCTGAGTTTGAGGCTAGCCTGGTCTACATAGCGAGTTCTAGGACAGTCAGGGCTATAGAGAGAAACCTTGTTTCAAAACAAACAAACAAACAAACACATCTGTGCAGTTCTGGCTGGCTAAAAACTCACTATGTAACCGATCTGGCCTTGAACTAATATCCATTCTCCTATTTCTGCTTTCTCAAGTGCTGACGTGACAGGTACATGGCACAATGAACTATCGCCAAATACCTAAACAAACTGTTTTATTTTCTTCTGTAATGAGGAATTCAGAGGTAGGTAGTCTGTGGCAACACAGTGTTATGAAAATATTTTTCTTTTTATGTTATGTGCATTGATGTTTTGCTATGGGTGTCGGGTCCCCTGGAACTGGAATTACAGACAGTTGTGAGCTGCCATGTGGATGCTGGGAATTGAACCCAGGTCCTCTGCAAGAACAGTCAGTGTTCTTAACCACTGAACTATCTCTCCAGCCCCCCCCATGAAAATCTCTCTTATATTCTAAAAGAGTGGAACTTTTGCTGGACCTCACAACCAGAGTTAGTAACACACCCTGAGTCGGTCACTTAAAAACTTAAGCTTGATATCCTGCTGTGAACTCGGCTTGTTTGTTTAAACTGCCTTTAAGAGAACAGTGTAACAATCGAACTTTCTTGTTTTGGATTTTCCATATAATCATTTTTTTTTTTTTTTTTTTTTTTTTTTGGTTTTTCGAGACAGGGTTTCTCTGTGTAGCTTTGCGCCTTTCCTGGAACTCACTTGGTAGTCCAGGCTGGCCTCGAACTCACAGAGATCCGCCTGGCTCTGCCTCCCGAGTGCTGGGATTAAAGGCGTGCGCCACCACCGCCCGGCCATATAATCATTTTTTATAACCTAAATCTTCAGTTATATACTCTTCCATGCCCCTGACCCATGGGTAATGCACATGTGTGTGCTGGTGTGTGTATGTGTGTGTGTTATGCTAATAAATGCTGAAAACAGCAAATGGGCAGATGTTGTGGAATATTTGTTTACACTGTGTGAAGATGTGTCACTGTGATTAACAAAGAGCTGAGTGGCCAATAGCTAGGCAGGGGAGAACAGGCAGGACTTTGGAGGAGAGAGAAGAACTGGAAGAGGAATGTAGGCACACGGAGGACACCAGTGAGATTCGGAACAAGCCAGACATACAGAATGGGAAAAAGGTAAAAAGCTACGTGGCAAAGTGTAGATTAATAAAAGCAGGGTAATTAAGTTATAAATTGGGGCCGGGCAGTGGTGGCGTACGCCTTTAATCCCAGCACTCGGGAGGCAGAGCCAGGCGGATCTCTGTGAGTTTGAGGCCAGCCTGGTCTACAAAGTGAGTTCCAGGGAAGGCGCAAAGCTTCACAGAGAAACCCTGTCTCGAAACCCCCCCCCAAAAAAAGTTATAAGTTGGGAACAAGTCTAAGCTAAAGGCCAAGCATTTATAATTAACAATAAATCTGTGTCATTATTCATGGACTGGCGGTCCAGAGAAAGACTGGCTGCAAGCAGAAAGCAACTTTATTTATTGTTTTTCCAGACAGGGTTTCTCTGTGTAGCCCTGGCTGTTCTGGAACTCACTCTGTAGACCAGGCTGGCCTTGAACTCAAGAGCTCCGCCTGCCTCTGCCGCCTGAGTGCTGGGATTAAACGTGTGAGCCATCCCCCACCCTCCCACCCCACCAGGCTAGAAAGCAAACTTTATTAACAAACATCCATCACAAATGCTGAAGCAGCATTTGGATACTGCTTGACAGCGTTTATCTGGGTCAGTGACTTTATTCCTGTAACACTCTAGACTTCTGTGAAGTGTCCTTCATTCCTTCCCCATGTCTGTGCTGGTCAATAGAGGAAGCAAAGCCCTTTGTTAGGAATACACACACCAGGGCACACAGACACAGGGACAGACCCCAGCAGCATTTGGGCTAGCACAGCTTAAGACTCACACGACAGATGAAGGACAATGGAAGACACAAGAAGAGTAGTGAAGTTCAAATCCGGGCTCACGCTGGGTTAAACAACACAAAGGGGAAATGCTTTCATCTCCTTCCTTAATGAGACTCAGACACATTATTGGTGACTCAGAGTTTATTATTAATGTGTTCAAACTAATGAAGCGGTCCCAGGCTCCTATAGCTCCGCAATGTCACAGGGACCTAGATTCCATTTTCCTCCATCCGTACCTTATGACACAGTGTTTATCATGATGGCTGCCATTGCCCCACAATCTAGGCAAGAAAAAAGAGGAGAGATGTATGTGTTAGAAACGTTTTTCCTTTTTGTTGTTTGTTTTTGAAATAGGGTCTCATTATGTAGCCCTGGCTGTCCTGGAACTCACTCTGTAGACCAGACTGGCCTAGAACTCAGAGATCCACCTGCCTCTGCCTCCCGAGTGATAGGATTAAACGTATGTGCCACCACACCCATCCTCTACCTTTCTTTTTACTTATTTTTTTACATTCTGTGAATGCATGTGTCCCTGGTGTGTATACCCATGGATGCAGGTGCCCTGGAGGTCAGAGGCATTGGATTCCCTGGAGCTGAGTTAACAGACAATTGTGAGGCACCTGGTAGAGGTGGGGGAACCCAACTCAGGTTTTCTTAACCACTGAGCCACCTCTCTAGCCCTACCACCTGAGGTTTTTAGGCAAGGTCTCTCACTGAACCTAGAGCTCGTAGACGCAGCTAGTATGGCTACTCAGAGAGCACCAGGGATACTTCTCGCCCATTTCCTGCTTCCGACCCTGCCAGGCCTAGCTTTTATGTGGTTACTGGGCACCAAACTTATGTCCTCACGATTGTGCAGCAGATTCTGCCTGCTGAGCCATTTCCTGGGCCAGTGCATTTTACTTCAACTATATTTTATTTTTTAAACATTTATTTAGAATGTGTGTGTGTTGGGGGGTGCACATGCAAAGTGTGCAAGGGAACTCCATGGATGCAGTTTTTGTGGGACTTTCTCCTATACTGGGGTGACCTTTTCAGTGATGCAACTGCATCAGTCCATCAATGTTTGGAGTGCCTAGCAGATGTAGCTCATGGCAGCCAGGAAGTGAAAGAGAGGAAGACAATGGGTCATATCCTAGTGTCCACTTCAAAGATATGCCCCCAATGACTGATATTTCCTTCCTCTAGTTCCTACCACCTAAAAGTTCCACTACTGCCCAATGGTGCACTGCTAGGAATCATGCCTTCAGCACAGGGGTGTCTGGGGGACATTCAAGCCTAAGCCACGGTAAGCATCTATGATGACCTTTTCCCCATTCTTTCCAGCTGAGAGAAAGGTACTCAGTGCTCGTTCCCAGGGGTAAATAAGAGCAAACCCTTCCTCTCCCAACACTTGCCTTCCTAGCCTCCTCCTTCAGAATTGAACATGGCTTTGAACAATGGGATATAAAAAACGAGTCATGGGGGCAGGGTTTCTGATAATGTTTTCCCTCCCTGATAGTGATGCTCCTGTAAGGACCACCACCCCCATTCATTTTGAGAAACAGGTGCTCACTGTGTTGCCAAGGCTGGTCTCAAACTTATTATCTTCCTGCTGCAGCCTTCTAAGAAACCGAGATTAAAAGTGTGTAGCTAGCCCCTCCCACTTGAGGTACTCACTTGGCCAGGGATGACTCAGCCAGACATAAGGGAGGCAGTGGTGGCACTGCTCTGTCTTACGTTACCCCTTCTGTTCTACCAGTGGATCATGATGCTGTGCCTGAGTGATTTCAGTAGTATGACAAGGAGGACATGCTCCCTCTTCCTGTCAAAGAGAAGGGTTTTGGAGGGAGAAGTCTGATAAAGGATGCAGTTTCCATGTATTTATGTATTTGCGTGTTTTATCTGCATGACTGTTTCTGTACCACGAGTACGCCTGATGCTCTTGGACGTCCGAGGGCACCAGATCTCCTGGAACTAGAGTTGCAGATGATTGTGAGCCACTATGTAAACGCTGGGAACTGAGCCTGGGTCCTCTGCAAGAGCAACAAGTGCTCTTAACCACTAAGCCAAATCTCCAGCCCCAGCAGGTTTTTGTTGTTTTTTGAGATAAGTTTCTCTGCGTAGTCCTGGCTGTCCTGGAACTTGCTCTATAGACCGGACGGCCTCAAACTCATAGAGATCTGCCTGCCTCTGCCTCCTAAGTGTTGTGCCACCACTGCCCAAATAGCGCCAGCAGTTTTTTGTTTGTTTGTTTGGTTGGTTTTTTTTTTTTGTTTTTTCGAGACAGGATTTCTCTGTATTGCTTTGGTGCCTTTCCTGGAACTCGCTCTGTAGACCAGGCTGGCCTCAAACTCAGAGATCTGCCTGGCTCTGCCTCCCGAGTGCTGGGATTAAAGGTGTGCGCCACCACCACCTAGCCTAGCCCCAGCAGTTTTAATATATAATTGTGCATGTGAAAATAAAAGTATTAGTTCTTTTAGTTTCAAAAAAAAAAAAAAAAGATCATTTAATCCCAGCATTTAAGAGACAAAGGCTCGGAGATCTCTGGGTTTGAGGCCAGCCAGGCCTATAGAGTGAGTTCTAGAACAGTCAGAACTACACAGAGAAAACCTGTCTTGAAAACCAAAAACCAAAAACTAAACCAAGTTACCTCAGGGGCTGAAGATATTTCTCAGTCAGTAGAGTGCTTCTTGCCCTAGCAAGTGTAGGCCCTGGTTCAATCCTCAGCACCGTGGTGGTCTACACCTGTAATCTTATCAATCAAAAGGTGGAGGCAGGATGACTGGCAGTTAGTATTATCCTTGGCTGTGCAGGGAATTTGAGGCCAGACTGGGCTAGAGACCTTGTTTCCAAAAATGAAAGTTAAAGAAGCCGGAAATGCTAGCTCATACCTGTAATCCCAATACTTGAAAGTTTCGGGTAGAGGAATGTCAACAGTTTAGGGCCAGCCTGGGCCATACAGTGAGTTCTTGTGGTAAAGCACTTGCCTAGCATGCATCAATTCTTGACCACCCCTGATGAAAGAAGAGGAAGAAGAGAAATGAGGGGAAACGAGGCAGCCAGGGGTGGGTCAGGCGGAGCCAGGCGGATCTCTGTGAGTTCGAGGTCAGCTTGGAATACAGAGTGAGTTCCAGGAGGCACAAAGCTACACAGAGAAACCCTGACTTGAAAAACCAAAAAAAAAAAAAAAAAAAAAAAAAAAGATAGACAAATTCATGCTCAGGATTACAAACATACATAACACAGGACTATAGAAAATGGAGAAAACCCTGAGTGAATCTGTGCTAATGACATGCGTACGGCCAAGTCAAGGACTACAGAGCCTCAGATCTATGGAATAATGGCAAAGCCTTCACCCTGGAGTGAGGTCCAGAGGCAAAGCAAAGTCCTCCTCAGAGGACCCGGTCCCAGTGTTGACTGTGTGTGCAGAAAACGTCCAGCATAGCTTCTTCCACCCTGATATTTATGTCCTGAAGACTGCTCCCCTACAGACACTGCTCCCATGAGATCAGCTAAGCCCGTTTCCTGGATTCAGCTGGACACCACAGGCCCTGCCCCCATGTCCTCTGTACTTAGTAACCCCACTTCTCTGTTCAACTCTACATAATAAACACGCTTAGCTTCCAGAGGCTGCCGTCTCTCTATAAGAGCCCACACCACCCAGTCACAGCTTCTTGTCTATGTATGTCTTGTCTTCATTCCCTCTCCGCCCCCGTCAGGTCTGAGCCTGGGGCCATGTTGGATGTGGCACAGGGTGCTCAACAGCATCTGCTGCCAAACCTAACCTGAGTTAGATCCCTGGGCCCTACAAGGTAGAGGAGACAGCGGTTCCTGCAAATTGTCCTAGGACCTCCATATGTGCTCTGCGGCACACACCACACATGCACAGACAAATAAATGTAATAGAAAGTTGTTTAAAAAGTTTGTCTTCGAGCCAGGCGGTGGTGGTGCACGCCTTTAGTCCCAGCACTTGGGAGGCAGAGGCAGGTGAATCTTTGTGAGTTTGAGGCCAGCCTGGGCTACAGAGTGAGATCCAGGACAGCCAGGGCTACACAGAGAAACACTGTCTCCAAAAACAACAAGTTTGTGTTGGTTAAGATGGTTCAGAGGGTCAAGCATTTGCTACAGAATTCTGATGACCTGATTCCTGGGACACAGAACTGTGGAAAGAGAGAACTGTCTCCCAAAAGTTGTCCTCTATCCTCCACACGTGGCAGCTGCGCATGCCCTGCCTGTTGTGGAATATTACTTTAACTATGTAACGGTGTGTTATATTTGTTTATGCTGAGGAATATTACTTTAACTATGTAACGGTGTGTTACATTTGTTTATTGCTACATTTGTTCAATTATGTAAAGATGTGATGCTGTTTTACTTTGCCCATCTAAAGCACCTGATTGTTCCAATAAAAAGCTGAACGGCCAATAGCTAGGCAGGGAGAATAAATAGGAGGAGAGAGGAGAGAGAAGAAGGGAGGAGGGTGGAGAAAGAGAGGGGGCCGTCCAGGGCCAGCCAGACACAGAGTAGGACATACAGAAGGGGAGAAAGGTAAAAAACCCTAAGGCAAATCGTAGATGAAAAGAAACAGGCTAATTTAAGTTATAAGAGCTAGTGGGACAAGATTAAGGCTGAGCATCACCTACATGGGCACATGGGTGAACACATGTGTAGGAGCATGCATGTGATCAAGTTTTAGGGTTTTTTGGTTTTGTTTTAAATTTATCACATTTACATATTTATGGGTGGGTATATTTTGTTCCCCCCTTATTTGCTTTTGATACATGGTTTCACTGACCTGGAATTAGCCCAGAAAGGCCAGCCTGGCTAGCCACTAAGCTTCAGGGGTCTGCCAGTTCTGCAGCACAGGCAGTACAAGCAGAAGCCACCATGACGGGTTTTTTTTTTCTCTCCCTCGGGTTCTGGAGAATCAAACTCAGGTCCTAACTGAGCGATTTCCTCAGCCCAGATCACCTCTTTTAAACAATGTAACTCCAAAGGCCCCAGAAATTACCTACATACTTGCTGCCGAAGCACGTCGGGGCCTTCCTCTTCTAACACTAGCCACCTCAGATCAGGTGTCTGCTCTTTCTCCTAATTAACTAGCTGAGGCATTCCTTCACTGGGACTCTTGGAATTCGCCTGGGCTGCACTGTGTCAAGAATCCCGGGGCACCTGACTAAGAGGCGCCTGAGGCTCTGAAAGGGGGAGTTGTCGGGCCTGCAAAGGCTGTGTTCCCGGCTGCCACTGCCAGGAAGACATTTTGAATAGTTTAGTAATTGCAATCTGTTCTGTGAGGGCGATTTTAAAGCCACATGTTAGCCCTAACCACGTTATGAATTCCTATGGTCAGTAGTAGTTTATTGATTATAATCTGGTCATCATAGCACTCAACACAACGCCAAGCAATCCTTTAAGAAAATTTGTATAGCACAAGAAATCCTCGCTCTATATTCGGTGAGACGTTTTCCTTCTAGTTCCTCACTCCTTCAAATTTAGCTACCATTTGAAATGTTTTAAAAATCTTTTGAAAGAGCCCTTATTTAGGGCTTCTCCATCAAGTTGGTAACTTAAGGCTAAAGATGGGGCCTAGCCGGTCCTTATTTTAACATTTGGATGATTCAAGCTGCTTCCAGCACTTGGCTACCTTTAGTTTCGAGAACGAGCCATTACAATATACCAAGTATTGCTGTTGGGCTTTATAAAGGGCTCGCACAGTAGCAGGTAAGTAGGGAATGCACAGCCTTTAAAGGAAGCGAGGAGAAAAGGCAAAACTCACGCATCCCGTGTGGCCACACGAATGCAATGGGCTGAGCTATCCGGACCACACGTTTCTGCATTTTTAGGGTGCTTCACCTTTAACATCTGCGGACCTCTCAAGTCCGGGGTTCGCCTAGATCGCAAGTGCAGCCTGCCCGGGCTCCCGGGCCCTTTCCCCTGCCGCAGCGCCCGCCCGCCCCTGCTCCCGCTCCCGCTCCGCATTGCAGCGGCGCGCCCCAGTCCGCAGCCCCGGCGCGCGCGCGCCCCGGCGGCGGCCCCGCCCCGCGGGGAGGAGACTGCGAGCCGAGCCCGCCTCTGCGGCGCTCAGGCCGGGCGCCCATTGGACGCGGCTGGCCGGGGGAGGGACCGTGGCCACCCGGCCGCGCCCGCCCCGCCCCGGCGGCTACTTAAGAGGCGCCGGAGCCGCCGCCTCTGCCTCATTGCGTTACTTACCTCGACTCTTAGCTGTCGGGAACGGTAACCGGGACCCGGTGTTCTGCTTCTGTCACCCTCGCCTTCTAACCCGTAGCTACCATGGTGAGTGCATCGGGTGTGGTGGGGAGGGGAGCGGGAGGAGGGCACGGGAGGGCGGCTCGCTGGGGGACCCCGGGGCCCAGGCGTGTGCGAGCCGGAGAGCGTGGGGCCCAGGCTGCCGGGCGACGCCGGGGTCTGGCGTGGGGGAAGGGGCTCCCCCGGGTCCTCCCGGACTCCGGTCTGCATCCGTCCACGCCCTGCGCAGGACCTGCAGCATGGCGCTTTCCGACCACAGCCTTCCCGCCCGCGGGCCCTTCCCCCATCCTCCCCTTCGCGCTCTGCTTTTCGGGCGCGAGCACAGAGCCTTTCCCCGCCCTCACTTCCTCTTTAGCGCGGAAAAGGCGGGGGCGGGAAGGCGCCGCGGACAAAGGACGCATGCGCGACCGTTAGGTTCCCGCCTGTGAGCGGCGGGAACCGCCTCTGCAGTGTGCGCGTGCGCGCTGCGGCACTGCGGGTTTCCTTCGTTTAGGGTGTGTCTCCTTGGACCTGTGTATTTGGGGGGGGGCGGAGGGACAAACCCGGGCCCTCGCGTTCTAAGCCAGCTCCCTGCTACCGAGGTGCAAACAACCTCAGCCTCGACCTTCCTTTTGCTTTTAATGAAAGGAATGAGGAATATGGGGAAGGTTTCCTCAACTGTATTCCACAATACGCAACTTAACCAACAGCATGGAGTCGCAACTGTCTCGAGTTGGGAATTTATGTGGGGCCAGGTGGCGACATTGAAGGGTTTTCAGGGAAACAGAAATCGGATCTGGGCGGTTGATAATCTCCTGCTGGACCGGAACAGATGTGGAAGAGCTGAGCTCGGTGCCTACCAGCAGCATCCCGGGCGCCTGGGTGCATGCTCTCATAATGGCTCGTTTGTCTCGTGCGGCAGAGCCCTGCCCCTTGTCCCTGCTGCAGCGAGACATCTCCTCTCACTGCGCAGCCACCTGCTTCCTCTGCCCAGAGTTGTCCGGAAATCTGGACACAAAGCAGAAGTAGAACTCTGAGGACGGAGGGTATCTTTGTTTTCAAAAGGAGGAAGAATGACTAAGAACTCCTAGGTGTGAAAAAGAGAGATTGGCTTTTTTTTAATGCTTGCGAGTTTTAAGGATTTGTCACGTTGTGCCTATGAGCTAGAACCCCAGCTGCTTTGGGCATTGCTAATTTTCCCCCCCACCTTTCTCTCATTCCACAGCGTGAGTGCATCTCCATCCACGTTGGCCAGGCTGGTGTCCAGATCGGCAATGCCTGCTGGGAACTCTACTGCCTGGAACATGGCATCCAGCCTGACGGCCAGATGCCAAGTGACAAGACCATTGGGGGAGGAGATGACTCCTTCAACACCTTCTTCAGTGAGACAGGCGCTGGCAAGCATGTGCCCAGGGCCGTGTTCGTAGACCTGGAACCCACGGTTATAGGTAAGTGGACCAGGAGCTTCCCCGAGGCATCCTGTCCTGGTCACAGACTCAGTCTCTCTTCAGACACCGAACAGTGAGTGAGCATGTGCGGATTGTTGGATGGCTGACCGCTTCTCCTTTTCCAGATGAAGTTCGCACTGGGACCTACCGCCAGCTCTTCCACCCTGAGCAGCTCATCACAGGCAAGGAAGATGCTGCCAATAACTATGCCCGGGGCCACTACACCATTGGCAAGGAGATCATTGACCTTGTCTTGGACCGAATCCGCAAGCTGGTAAATGCCATAGATGGGTACATTTAAAATGCAGTGAGAGGGTTCTGGTGTTGAGTGTGCTTGCCAATACAACAATACATTTTCTTTTCTCTTCTTACAGGCTGACCAGTGCACAGGTCTTCAGGGCTTCTTGGTTTTCCACAGCTTTGGTGGGGGTACTGGCTCTGGGTTCACCTCCCTGCTGATGGAGAGGCTCTCTGTTGATTACGGAAAGAAGTCCAAGCTGGAGTTCTCCATCTACCCAGCCCCCCAGGTTTCCACTGCTGTGGTTGAGCCCTACAATTCCATCCTCACCACCCACACCACCCTGGAGCACTCTGATTGTGCCTTCATGGTAGACAACGAGGCCATCTATGACATCTGTCGTAGAAACCTCGACATTGAGCGCCCAACCTACACTAACCTTAACCGCCTTATTAGCCAGATTGTGTCTTCCATCACTGCTTCCCTCAGATTTGATGGGGCCCTGAATGTTGACCTGACAGAATTCCAGACCAACCTGGTGCCCTACCCTCGTATCCACTTCCCTCTGGCCACCTATGCCCCTGTCATCTCTGCTGAGAAAGCCTACCATGAGCAGCTTTCTGTAGCAGAGATCACCAATGCCTGCTTTGAACCAGCCAACCAGATGGTGAAATGTGACCCTCGCCATGGTAAATACATGGCTTGCTGCCTGCTGTACCGTGGTGATGTGGTTCCCAAAGATGTCAATGCTGCTATTGCCACCATCAAGACCAAGCGCAGTATCCAGTTTGTAGATTGGTGCCCCACTGGCTTCAAGGTTGGCATTAATTACCAGCCTCCCACTGTGGTACCTGGTGGAGACCTGGCCAAGGTCCAGAGGGCTGTGTGCATGCTGAGCAACACCACAGCCATCGCTGAGGCCTGGGCTCGCCTAGATCACAAGTTTGATCTGATGTATGCCAAGCGTGCCTTTGTGCACTGGTATGTGGGTGAGGGCATGGAGGAGGGGGAGTTCTCTGAGGCCCGTGAGGACATGGCTGCCCTGGAGAAGGATTATGAGGAAGTTGGTGTGGATTCTGTTGAAGGAGAGGGTGAGGAAGAAGGAGAGGAATACTAATCCATCCTGTAAACCCCTGGATCATGTCAAACTCCCAGAACTTCAACCTTAGCTGACAGGCAGCACTGATGCTTCTGATTGTGTTACCTTTCAATTCTGTGATCATGTCTTCTCCATGTGTCCCTGTATGTGTTTTCCATGATGTCTCAAAGTAAAAGCTTTAAGAAAATTGGTTTCTGTATACTTTTTTTGTTTGGTTTGAGTATCCTGTGTCCCACACTAGCCTCTACCTAATCCTGCAATCTTGATGCCCTGGAGTAGTAATAGGCCACCACTCGGGTGATTCGGTGCTGCTTGTATGCTAGGGGAGCACTGGCCAGTGAACAGCATTCCCTACCTTTTGTGCTATTATAAAGTCGTGATGCTTGGGAAAGTCCACAGGACATGTGACCCAGACCCCACACTACCAAAATGTCAAATGATCCTTTGCTGGCTCAGTGCATACCTTTAATACCTGCACTTAGGATGAAAAAACAGTTACGGGCCAGCCAGAGCTACACAGTACTGGGAGGTGTGTGTATTGAAAATTTTGAGGGTGATGGGACAGCTCTGTTTTTGGATTATGATGTGCGGAACAACTTAAGACGTGTTCAATGCTTGGGCCAAAGTCTCCCACCAAGAAAGAGCCAAAGAATACATTGTCCAGTCTACTGGTAAGGGTTGCGTTGCAGGTAGTGGGAACATTTGTCAGTGTTAGGACTCAATTTACACCACTAAGCATGAGGATATTTGGACTTGAGATGGAGCAAGAGGCCTCAGACATTCTGGGCAAAGGCTGTTAACTCCTCTTTCACTTTGAGATGGTCTCGTTGCCATGCTGGTCTTGCTATCCACTCAGTATGTAGCCCAGGGCTGTTTCCACCTCCAGAGTGTGGGATTAAAGACCCACACCTCTGCCAGAAGTAAAAGCTGGAGGATCAGGAATACAAGGCTAGCCTGAGCTACAGAAGACCCTGTCCCAAGAAAAAATGCAAAACAAAACCACACAAACTAGATACAGTGGCTGAGTCAGCTGAAGAAGAGTGCCCCTCAAGAGTGTGATTGAGAAGCAGCAAGTCTACTCTAATCAAGCCCTGCATCCCAGTGAGGTCCTATCACAACAACCAAGGTAGGGGCTACAGAGATGAGAGGATAGTGCTTATTCAGAGGGCCCAAGTTCACCCAAGCCGCCACATTTGTTGGCTAACTGCAGCTCCAGGAAGGACTGACCCCTCAGACTTCTGATACCAGCACTCACATGACCCACGTACATACAATAAAAATCTAAAAAACCCAAGACAAGGTGGACAACTGAAAAACAACACTGAAGTTGACTTCTGGCCTCCACACACATGCTCACACTTTCGTATGAGCACACATTCACATATACGTACAGAGAACACATCTTTTTACAAGGGAAATTGTGTCAGGCATGGTGATGCAAACCTTTAATCTCAGCACTCAAAAGGCAGAGGCAGGTGAATTTCTGATTTCAAGGTAGGCCTCTTTCACACTGAGTTCCAGGACAGACAGGACTGCACAGAGCCTGTCTCAAAACAAATTTAGGGATTGCAGGGGCTGTGCTTGTAGCTCGGTTTGGTAGGTGTTTGCCGAGCATGCATGAAGCCCTGAGTTCGATCCCTAGCTCTGCGCTCCACCTGGCATGGGGGCTGAGGCCTATACTCTCAGCACTCACAGGGTGGAGGCAGGGGGATCAGAAGTTGTTCAAGGTGCAGTGCCTGGTAAAGCCTGTGGTCCTACAGAAGACTCCAAAATGAAGAAATCAGGATGATCCCCTCTTAGGCCAGCTTTTTTTTTTTTTTTTTTTTTTTTTTGGAGACAGGTTTCCATAGGTGTCCCAGGCTGATCTTTAACTTTATCCTTCTGACTCAGCTTCCCAAACGTTAGCATTACAG